TCATTGACTTAAGTCAATTTTCGATAACTCCTTACTTGATTTCCTTCCATATTTGCCCCTACTCTTGCTAAACAAACTCTTATATTTAACCAAAACCCCCTCCTTCTCTTCAACTAAACCTAACTTCTCATACGACTCCGCCACCCTTTCCACTATAACTTTATCCGTACATTTCCGATTATACCCTTCAAGCTCCTCAAAAAGCTTAACAACCTCTTTCCACATCTCATTTCGATAATACACCGATACCATAATTTCACATACTTTCCAAGGCACCAATTCCACATTCCTACCAAGTTTCCTACCCCATAACCTCTTTGCCTCTTCTACTCTATTATCCATATCTAATGCCCTTATTAATTGTCCATATGTCCCAATTGTTGTCCCATGTCCTTTACTTAACATCCATTTTATAACTTGCACAACTTTATGCCATTTTTCCTTTTTTTCGAGAGTCAACAATGCGGTTTTGACTCGGCCGATTGGGAACTCGTGTTCCTCCGCAACCCACGCGTCGAGGGTACCGTAGACCGCTTCTTTTGTGTTCTCAAGGTCAACGAGTTTGCTTACAATAACACTAATTTTGTCCTTTTTGGACACGTTTTGGAATCTTTGTAGAATTGGTGTTTGATCTTGTGTGTTTGTAGTTTGACTAAAGGTCGAGATTGGTATTTTAAATATACCGAGTCGACTCGTTGGTTTAATGAGACCGGTTATTGCTTTATACCTCAACATTGCGAGAGAGAAAATGGTGTCTTATTTGAAAACCCTTAAAATTGAGTTAATTTGATCATGTTGGAGATGTGAATCCCTGTAGTTATAATAGAAAACATGTAGAATAAATTAAAAAAAGGGATTGTGTGTTAATATTAATGAGAATTAGGTTTTCCACTAAACCCTAATTCTAAATGACAGAATCCAAACACATAAGCTCACGAATTTAATTACTCCTTACAGTTCACAACAATACAAACATGTTCTGAAGGATTCAACAGCCTGAATCAACGAATTAATTAATGATTTGTTAAAATCGAGCTGAAAACATGATTACCCAATTCATACATTTCAAGATCAAAGTAGGCAGTTTTTCTCGATTTTTTAACACGGAAAAGTTTCAGATTTGTTACGTTTTCTATTTGTCGTTGATTTCTACGATATAATCCTAAGAAGAATTCATTAATTTTGATATCCAAAAGCGGAAATTTTACGGATTGGGGAGTAATTACAAGGTTCAATTATCAATTTGAACTAAGAAAATACTTTAATGTTCAATAGCAATCAAAAACATCAAATTTTACAGGTATGTGATGAAGTAAGAGCTTACTCTTCATATTCCATCAGAGACAGGAAACAGCTTCGTTACACGACGGTGTAGGCATGGACGATGTATCCTCCGTACGATGGCGGCGAGTAGTCCAGCAACGGCGTGGGCGGCGGATACGCTCGAAGGAGCGTTTCTACTTTCAAGTATAACCGTTCGACGTGAAGAGTCGACATAGCCGATCCAGAACTTGAGGATAAACTTGGCCCAAGATAAATGGGTAGCCCATAGTTCCATGAAAGCCCATACAGAAGGAACAAAGGAAGTTCTGGATATATCATTAGTTTTGTTTGTTATTTCTAGAATGTGTCCCATTATTTCCTATTCATTCATAATGTATTTGGGATTGTTTATAAATAGGTGAAGTTTTCACTCCATTTTAAATATCAATATCAAACTACTAAACATTCTTCTAAGTATTGAAGCCCTCTTTGTATACTTGTTCTCGATATTATCTACAATTGCTTCATGCCTCTTCAAAGTATTATTGTATGGCTTACTTGAGACCTTGGGTAGATCTTCAAGCTTATAACAAGTTGAAATTTTGTATCATTAACAATTAGTTAGTAGTTGAGCATGGTTCAAAAGTTTGAACTTTGAAGAAAAAAGGTGCAAGATAAGTAAATACTTGGAAAGTAACAATCCCCACCAAAAAAAGCATATACAATGATCCAAATCAAGGAGAAACTCATGACGTCATATCAATACTTTCGGTGAAGCAATGGAGCCTCACATCTCGTAACTTGAGTTTTTAATCAATGGACTAAAGGTATACATTGTAAATATGGAAGTAATAATCAAGATACTTATCTAAGAGAACATTGAGATCTCGACAACCACCAAGTCCACAACATACACAGGGAACTAGATTCCAAGCATCGAGATAAATGATATTTAAGCGATCTACAAGCCAAGAAATAATAATGAAAACTATGGCGCTCCTTTCCATGTTTGAAGGTCCCTAAAATTGAGATGTTCAGTAACACAAGAATGCCATCATGGCGAATAAATTTTCTTTGAACTCAAGCAATATGTATCATACATATGCCACTAAGATTATCGATGCCCTAGATTTCATACCCCCATAATATCATGTTAAAAGCAAAGGGAAACTACATTGATCTGTAAAAGTACTATTTCTGACTATATCCTAGAGTTCACTAGCATTGTATTGGAGCTTGATGATATGTCATTGGGGATGCTATATTTTATTTTAAATATAAACAAAAAGATAAGGCATAATTGGAGTTATGTTGACACAAAGTGCACATCCTCCATGATTTCATCATAGCAGCCAAATTGCTTATCAATTACACTACATAGTAAAGGAGAATATTAACACAGATTGAAGAAGGAAACAAGTGGACTCTTCTAAATGTTAAAAATTCATTCAAACCCATCAAATCCTTAAAAACATGTTTTATATGTAGCCAGATACATTTTAGAATCTTTTACGGAATGTTTCCAAGACACATATAAGTCTAAGTCGTCAAGTTCGTGCTTCATATGTAATGAGAGGAATCAGACACAAAAATCATCCACAAAAGAAAGCCACTAATAGATACATGGGTCTATTAGGTTATATACTTGGCTAAAACCGAAAAAAATAATAATAAATAGATGGACTAATTTGTTATTTATTAGTAAATAATGAATTCCCTAAAAACTATGGAGAATGAAATTTTAGGCAATAAAGTCTTGAAGCTTGAATTATGGTATTGTTACCATAATTGAGAAAACTTGTAACATCCCGACTCCCAAGTATTAATCTGAAGCTTTTATCTTCACATTTTTAGACCAACTCGACGAGGTGGCTACCCCAACTCGTCGTATAGAAACGAATCAAGCTGAGTGAACTTTAGGACCTACTCGAAGAGTTGAAGGACCCTAACTCGACGAGTTGGAGGACCCCAAATTGACGAATTGAGGTTGTGCATGAAAACCTTAGTTTTTATGGTTTGCAACATATTAAAGTGACCTTAAGTCCTTTATCCAACCTCCCTTACCACCTTCACATCCGGAGACAAACCCTAATTGAGCTAACCTCCCTTTGAGTGTGTGAGGCTAAAAGAGTGTGTGTGTTTGTTGCATTTCATGAAGAGGCTTGAGGATTGAGAAGCTTGGAACGAGAAGGGGGTTGTATGTAACGCCCGTGTTTCCAGGCTAGGCATTTTCATTGATGTAATAGTCTAGGTTAACCTTTGTAACCCGTTTTGAAATAATAAGAGCATATTATTTGTGTATTATGTGTTTCGTGCTTAATTGCTTAATTATGTGATTTGATTAATTAAGAATAAAATAAGCATCAAAATTAAAGTATGAGATTAGCCCGATATCTTTTCATAAAGATGTAGTGGTCGAAACAAGGATTCCGAAGATATAAAGAATGCCAAAATCTGAGTTATAACGAATAAGTTATGACCTATCGAAGTTTCGCAACAGAACCGGCAACGCTGAATGACGTAAAAAGTGAAATTTACGTTAGAGCGATATTTAGCCTTAGTGATCTAAACGAAAGTCATAAAGTTCGTTAAACCGAGAGCGTGCATAAAAAGAACGCCAAAATCTGACTTCGTATGAGGAAATTATGATTTTTCGAAGTTTCGACTTAGTAGTATGCAGCCCGAATACTTAATTTGAGATCGAGCGGTTTTTAGCCGAAACAATCTAAATGAGAATCGAAGATCTAGTTGTTAGTAGCGAAACGATGAAAAGTTAGGCGAGAACGGACGTCGGACGAAGAACTTATGAATTTATAACGAAATTTTCCTATCCCGGCCTACTAAAAATAAAAAATAAAAATAAAGTCAAAATTAGCCGACGAGGTCTAAACGAAAGTTGTAGAGCGTAGTCTCACCTATGCGTGGATATAAAGAACGTCGAAAACAGAGTTCGTATGAAGAAGATATGAATTTACAAGTCTGTATATGTATATATTTATTGAATGACTTGTAATGTTATCGTTTATGCTTTATGGTCTGTATCAGAACATGACATCCCGAGTTTTGATTATATAATGAAAATATATTTCTTTTATGAAATACTTTGGTAAATATTATTTTATCACGTTTTGTTTTTGGGAACAAATTCCGCAACTCTTTCAAATCAAAAGGATTTACTCTGAAATTATTTTAAAAGCATAAATGAAAATCGGTCTTTTATGGCCGTAATTTTGGGGATGTCACAGTTGGTATCAGAGCATTAGTTTAAGCGAACTAGGAATTTGTAGGATTTCTAGACTTAAACTTAAAATGCTATGTGAAATTTTGAGATGTGTGTCTGTTATGTTTTAGACACGAGCACTAGTTTATTTTAGGAAAGTTGCCTAAAATACTTTTATGTTCTAAATGTTATATGTTGCCATATATAATATTATTTGTTCGGATCTATGGTCTGTAGCCGACCAGATCTGAGAACCTTATGTGTGTAGGATTCTAAGCGTACGTCTACGATATTAAAACTAGCATGTAAACGTTTCGGAGTGATAAGGATGATTTGAATATCTATCGTGAATAAGGATCTAATTTCGCCTTATTCGGTGTATAGATCAAAAATGGTGAGAACAAGACGTGGAGTTGGAAATGCTGATGAAAACAGGAACCAACCACCAGTGATTGAACAATTACCTGTTGTAGCTGCAGCACCGGAGCCAATAACAACGGCTGGTGTACAAATGATGATTCAAACAATGTTGGATCGCAAAATGGAGGAGACTAGGCGGTTGCTTCAACATAATCGTGAAGAACTGTCAATTCATGTGGAAGAGCCCGAATTAAATGAAGGGCACTCGGAATGTGGAAACTTCAGTGGGTCTGTTGGTCAATCCAACCCACCGATAGTTAGGCAAAACAACCATGATGGTAGGAATGATGGAATGGGATGCAAGTACAAAGACTTTCTGACTTGCAAACCATCGACCATAACTAGAAAGCAGGACCCGATCGGAGTGATGGATTGGATCTCCGAAATGGAGTTAGCCTTCATGACTTGTGGCTGCAGAGGCAAGTTGCAGACTACCTATGCAGTGCGTTAGTTCCGAGGTGGAGCTGTTCTTTGGTGGAACACTCTAGGGAAGACTTTAAGCCCTAATGAGCCACTGCAATTGAAATGGGCAGAGTTCTTGGCGCAGTTCAAACGCAAGTTCTGCTCGGCTCAAAATCTGTTGGAATTAAAGAATAAGTTTCTGACATTGACAAAGGGCAGCATGTCAGTCAACGATTACACTAACGCTTTCACCAACAAGATGGAGTTTGCCTTGCGCATCGTTCCAGATGAGCTGACAAAGGTTGACCGGTATGCAAAGGGACTCTCATGGGAGTAGCAGTGCCAGTTCGTCAGGCACTTACTCTAGAGGCAACTATTTGGGCTGACATCTCCATTTTCACGAGCAGAAAAGACCGATTTTGTTTTTGCT